AAAAAAAAAAAAAAAAAAAAAGAATAGTTTATTGGGAAAGAAAGCTTCTGTCCAAGAGGGACACAGAAGGGGGACCCTAGTGGGTTACCAGGGAAACTGCCTTTTTCAGGGATTGTATGGAGCAAAACCATGTGATGAGGCGGGTCTAAGGTGAAAACCATGGGAACTCGCTCAGGTGGGCATGAGGTGGGACAGTACTATGGTCAACCAATGAGATTACAAGCACCATTGCTCAAGTAAAATTGATTAAATCGGAATCAAATGGGGAAACAAGTCACACAGCAAGCGGGCATGAATATGGAACAAGGTCTCTCCTGTTGGGGTTGGGCTAATGACTCTTTTGGGGCTCTTTTAGGGTGATTGATACCTATTTAAAGTATCAACCCCTGATGCCCATCCCTAGGGAAGTATGTGGCTGCATTTGCTTACTCCATTGTCTCAAGGTCTGGCCCACAGCTGGCAGTGTCTGCCTCTTCCAAAGTTGCAAAATCATCTATACTGTCCTTGAGGGCCTAGCCCAGTCTGACTGCCTATAATATTTCTGTCTAATTTAGCTGCCTGCAACAGTCATATCATAACAAATAGTATAAATCACAATTGTGAATACTGGGAAAAACCATATGCTTTGGGGTCAGAGAAGCATTCTAATTATAATCCAAACACCAGCTATAGATCCTCATTCAAAAATCTTAACCTCTCTGGGTCTTAGTTTTCTCTTTGGAAAATGGGGCCCATGGTCCCTACCCTGCTTCACTTCTGAGACAGCCAGAAAGAGAAAGCAAAAGGACATGGAAGCCCTTCACTGGTGCTTGGTGCCCCCTAAGGGCTCCCAAGGGTGGGCTGTGCCACTAGGAAGCGGCCACGGAGCTGCTGAGGTGAGGCCACTTGACATAGCTCTGCCTGCCTCCCCTTCCACAGATCCACCTGTACTCAGACCCGCCCCAGCCCAGCCACAGCACCCACCTGGGGACGGTGCCCCAGGGGACCAAGGTCTTGTCCTTCACCATTCCCCAGCCCCGCACAGCTGAGTGGAGGCCCAGCCCCGCCAGGCAGCCCCCAGCCTCCTCAGAGGCCACAGGTGAGTCTGGAAAGGAAGTTCCTGTGTCACTGTCCTAGGTCGCCTCAGTCGCCCCGGGCCGGGAAGACAGGGGGTGTTCTCTGTGCCTCACGACATGAAGAAGTCAAGTGGATGGCAGGAAAGGGCCCTGCACCTGGCCAGGGCACCCTGTGGGCTCCGACTCTGCCACCAGGAGTCTTGGAAATGCTGGGAGTGGGGAGTGGTGACCGCAGCCAGGCCCTGCAGTCCATGTGACACTTGTGCTGCACCCTCAGTTTAACCCTGCACTGACCTGGTGCTGTATTATATCATCCTGTGACCACTAAGCAACCAGGACTAAGGATCTCACAGTGAGGAAGGGGAAGGATTGGGACCAGCCTCACCATGCAGAGTTAGAGCCAGTGCTGCCGCTGGGATCCCTGCGGCCACAGCTCTGTCCCTCCCAGCTTGGGAGCTGGTTCTCACCCGTCCGCAGGCAGGGGCAGCACCCAGCCCAGCACTCTCCCTGGGGCAGTTTGCAAGCTGCTCAGCTGTGACCTGAGGACAGATGCGGTCTTGAGGGCTCAGTCTTCCGGCCCTCGGAAGACTGTCCTTGTCCTCAGCACCTGTGTCTTCTAGGGTGGCCAACAGCCCGAGGAGAGCTGAGCACCTCCACGCACCCCAACCTGTCCACTCCAGGGCAGCTTCCAGAGAGCAGTGCCTCCGTCCAGCCCTCCACAGAGTGGACCCACGTGCTGGCTGCTCAGGCCAGCCGGCTCCTTGCCAAGGTGAGTAGGGTCACGGCTCCAGGAGACACAGCCGGCAGACACAGCTGGCAGTGTGGGACGAGGCTTTCACTCCCCACTTCTGCACTCAGGTCCAGCGGCTGACTTAAAATATGAGTCACGGACTGGGCACAGCACCTCCCTGGCAAGCACAAGGTCCTGAGTTTGATTCCTAATACCAAAACAAATTTGGGTCTGAGTCTCTTCCTGCACCTTAGGGGCCACACAACAATTCTTACGCTTTCTCTTCCTCCTCGGTGTCACTGGAACTAACCGGAGCTCTCTTTCCTTACATTGCTTCCCGTTATTATCTCTCCAGATGTACTTGAAGGTATCTTCAGGTGACCCCAGGGAGCCTTCCCCAACCCTTTGCTCTGCAGGACAAATCAGCCGTGGCTGCATTTCACCATAGAAATCAGCTCTCAGTAATCTCCCAGAGGGTCTTTATGTTGTCACCAGACAATCCACCTTCCTGTGAGTTTTTGCAGGTCTCTTTGTAGCTACACACTTGGCCTTATTCCAAAATGCTTAAAGCAGCTTATGAAAATACTACCGTTTAACCACATTCTGAAAACAGAAGTGAAGAAACTGGGGCAGAGGGGAAGTAAGGGTAAAGAAAGACAGACTAACTTAGGGTGACGTGAGCAAGCGAAGCACCCTGTCGGACCCTGAGTGCTTAGCCACCGCTTGGGCTTTACCTTCCTAGTCACTGACCCAGAAGCGTAACTGCGATTATTCCAGGTTCATGAAGTGGAGTCCCGCAGAGAAACACATCTTTTCTACTTTCATTTTGTTTTTGTTTTTTTCATTTTCTTTTGAGGCAGGGTCCCGCCGTAGCCAGCCTGGCCTTGAATTTCTGGTGACCATTCTGGCCAGCCTTTCGAGTGCTGAGATTACAGGTGTACATCAGCAGGGCTAGCTGTTTCTTTCCTTCCTTTCCTCCCCTTCCTTCCCCTCCCCGCTTTCTTTCCTTTTCTCTCCTCTCCTTTCTTTTGGTAACGGCCTTCTTAAGGTATCCTTCATATATCATGCAATTCCCTCCCTTAAAATGTGCTGGGGTGGTTTTTCTGTATCCTCCTAGGCAGCCATCACCATAGTTAGAGCATTCTCATCACCCAGCCAGAAACCCCGTGGCCCCCGACTCCCGCTCCCAACCCCCTCTCACCCCCCTCCCCCATGTCAGGCCACTGCTCCCCTCCACTGTGGCTGCGTGGGTCGCCTCCTGTAAGTTTCCCGTGTGAATTCAGGCATGAGCCGCCCTTCCGTGCCCACGGCTTCCACACACCTTGCGGTTCCTAGGCTCCAGGAGAAGCAGCATCCAGGTCCTCCTTCGCATCCCTCCCCTTGTGGCCTGGGAGCCAGAGAGATGTCTCTGTTTGTCATCTGTCATCCACAGAGCAAGAGCCGGGCATAGCTGGTCCTGGCAGTCTCTGGTGGCCGCGGAGTGTGACCTGCGGCTGATCTGAAGAAGGACAAGTTCTAAATGTAAAACACAGCCCAGTCTTTAAAAGAATAATAGAAACTATCTCGCTAGTAACTTTCTCATGGTCACCTGCTGAAATGATATTTGGAGTTAAAGAAAATATAGCCTCCAAGTTACCTTTTCACCTTTTTTTTTCACCACTATAGATTGAACCAGGGCCTTCACATTGAGCTACATCTTAGACCCTTTCTAAAAAATTTAGATGAGGGTCACTCCGAGTCACTGAGTTGCCCATGCTGGGTTTGAACCTGTATCCTCTTGCCTCAGCCTCCCAGAGTGCCAGGATTGCGCAGATGCACCATTGAGACTGGCTTCCTTCTCCCCCCTCCCCGTCCCCCAACCAGGGATTGAACTCAGACCCTTGCGCTTGCCAGGGAACCGTTAATTCTACTGAGCCATCTCCCTGGCCCAAAACTTAACTTTTGCATTCTTAATCTACCTGCTATAAAATTTTATTTTATACATGTAGTTCATCTTTGTATTCTACGTGTTACATAAATTGTGTTTTATAGTATTATTATGTTACCTACATTTCCGTACATTCGGTTGACCTAGAGCTTTCCTGAAACGCCAAATCACCCCTTGCCTTTTCCTTATTGAAACATCCTCTGTCAAGACCCCAGACTCATGTGGCAGAAGCCCCTGCATAGTACAGAGGGCGTGTTCAGTGGGAAGCCAGCCTCTCACACCCCTGCAGAGGGTGTGTGTGTGCTGGGCATGAGGGAATGGTGCACCATTTCGTGTAAGGGCTTCAGCAACCTCAGGTTTTGGTCTTCGCAGGGAGCTGGTGTGCCCGGATCTAATCCCACTATACAAGAACACATTTATTCTTTCCCTTTTTGTTTCCTGTATATTTTATGCAAGTGGCGGCCTCCAGCGCTCTCTGGGCCGCCCCTTCGCTTAGGCCTAGGAGGTGTTTGTGCACAGGAATCCGTGCTGTGCCTTACTCTTGGTGGTGGCTGCGTACTCTTCCAAGGGCGAGCATTTTAGGCTGTCTCCGCCTCCTGCTCCACTCACAGGTCTTCCTGCTCAGGATGAATAGGCTTGATTGTTAATAACTTCCTTGATTTTTTTCCCAAGGCTGCCAGGGGAAGGCCCCTTTCCAGCACCTACTCTGCTGGCAGAAACCCCCACACTGAGGCTGTCAGGCCCGATCCAGCCCGAAGCTTGAGTGTGGCTGGGTGTGGGATCCTGGGTCTAGGTTAACGCAGCCTGCTTCCTTCCTCTCCTGATGTACAGGTGGAGTCCTTCGAGGGATTGTTGCAGGCAGGCCAGCTCACCCCCCAGGACCAACTCAAGGTACCCATGGCGCCGCCTGACTGCCCTGTCCCAAAGCTGAGTCCCCGGAGCCTCTTTAGCTACAGGAGACAGATGAGACCCCGGCTTTGGTGGCTCCCTGGAACACAGACAGCTCTCACTAAGCTTACTGGGACAGTGACCCACAGATCACAAGGGGACCCACACATGAAGCCTCATGGTGCAAGCCAGGCACAGCGGCGGTTCACACCCCATGGACCACACTTCACATGTCACTACGATGCCCCACGAGACAGTTATGGCCATTACCTGAGTAGCCGTGATGGTGCTGGAGCCCAGAGAAGCAACCCACAGGCCAGGCAGTGGGTGGCTGAGCCCAGGTGGCCGAGCCCAGGGCTGGGGCCACCTGTCTCCCAGCTCCAGGGTCGTGAGCTCCACCACTGCTGATGGACCTACCTCATAGCCTCCAGAAAAGGGCTCTTCTTTTTAGCTCTCCCTTTTTCCCATTATAAAAGTGGTTACCAAAAGTTTGGAAAATAGGGTCCATTGAGGAGAGGGGGCCCTTAGTCCAACGGCGATGGGCCTTTCCTTTTTGGAGTTGCTCATACCCATAAACATGTACATGCAGCACAGCCTCCTGCTGCCTCCAGAAAGGGCTCTGAAGCCAGAGTGTAAGGGTCAAAGGCAAGGTAGGCACAGGTGTGGGAAGAGTCAGGGGGCCCTGCGGACTCCCCAGAGCCCTCCCCGTCCCCCAGCTCTCCTCCCAATTCAAGGTCTCTTATCCTTCCTCTGACTGGACAGACCCAGCCAGCAGGCAGTATCAGGGAGCCTGGCACAGAGCGCACAGGGGCTTGGGCCTGGAGCAGCCAAGGCAGGACGCTGGTTCATTAGGAGACACCAGGGTGTATGTCCCAGGCTGCATGGTGGGTGATGTCACACCCATTTCTCAGCTACAGACATGCACGTCGTGTGGCATCACGCAGATGGATGATCAAAATCATTCCTTTAAAAAATTTTCATTAGCACCCGATAATTGTGCATAGTCACAGGCAGTGTGATCAGCTGTTACGTGTGTGCCACACAATGATCAGAGTGGGTAAGCATAGCTCCCTAAGCATGTATCATATATATA